ACCCCCACCCCCACCCCCACACACACCCCCCCCACACCCCCCCCCACACCCACACCCACACCCACACCCACACCCACACCCACACCCCACACACCCACACCCACACCCCTGAAGCCTGTTGTTTCTTGCTCGTGTGCAACATCCTTTGTGCAACGAATCCCACTTCCATTGGTTTGATAATCACTCTGAGAATGATGAGCGAATCTTGCATACGGCAAGTTCTATTAGCTGTATACTGAAAAACGAAAGGAAGCACTTAACCTTAGTGACAAAAATTCAATCATCAATTTCATCGGTAAACGGTACAAATGAACGGATCTATGATATTTTTTCTCAGCACTTTTTGTTCTGCATATGCTTCCATACTATGTGCATTGAATCTTGCAAAAATATAGAACGAAGAGATTCCATTGAAAAAAAAGAACTGTCACTTCATTACGACAAATTGATAGACAAAGAATGATTTTTAAACGTGTTCATAATTGTCCACCTGTATGAATCGTATAGAACTAACATGTAACAGTAGTGTCTTGCAAAACCATATGTGCAACCTTTTCGCGAATTCCATATGCAGGAGCCTGTGTATGCCCATTGTTTATCAAAGGCAGAATGGATACATTTACCACTCACAAACCCTCAACGTTTCGCACACGAAGTCGATGATTTACTACCCCCATATGATCAGTGTCAGGTGCCATTTTACATGTACCACATGGATGAAAACAGGTGGTGGCAAAGGATTGTACATGCTTTTTCTAACCAGCCAAATTCATTGGATGGGATATTGCTTTCGGCCATGGGCCAACAATTATATTTTTTGTTCCTCGACCTTTCATTAACACTTCATGCCCGATTCGACAACCTTCAGCAAATACAGCTACACCGAGACCATTTTCAAGATAGGCATGATCGATGATTGGTTTGCTTGTTGTGTCCTTGGACGAGAGTCGTGCGGTACCTCTTGCTTGTGGTTCGAATATAAGAGTAAATGCTGCAATGACTCCTTCGCCTTCTACGGGACTGTGTGGCAGCTCGTCTACAAAAGTCGATAGACTCTTATTCACTGAATTTTATCAAATCATTATATTCGGAGAGATCTAAACTACGTGGTGAAATATTGTGAAACATTTAAGGTTTGCACAGTTCAGAACAGACACTCAAACTGTCTGAAGATAAGAGACGTTTTGCTAAATACGAAAAACTACAGAATCGACTTTTTCCGTCCCTACATTCCCGAAATGAATGCCATTGTGAAATTTAATCTTCTTTCGGATGAAGTACTATGAATTATCAACTTTTAGATATATGTCCAATTGTGATTACAGTACTGGCCGAGAACTATCACTTAATTGTCGTTAACGATGTAATAAAACTAAATTCATAGTGATTGTTCCATATTGGACTACGTAGGTAGGAGAACATTTATTGTACAATGTAATGAAGCTTGTTATTCATTCTGTTGTACTTTGTCCGAAATAGGAGGATCTGGCTAGTGTCCATCATTTTTCATCTGATTAAAGTAACAGAGAGTGGAAATGGATAATTCTTCCCGAATCCAAATTCGAACGAATTATTATAAATCTTGGCATTTTAATTCATATATCAAGTGGATTTTTAGTGATTACTTTATTGTGATTTTTCTGGAGTGCATTTATTTTGAGCTTGATCTTCTATCTAGTCAAAATTGAACAAGACTTTTCTAGAGATTGCTTCAGAATACTATTCTTTTAAAAGTTCTTTTTTATATTGTGTTTCACTGAACTGGTTGTGGGAAGATAGGAATATAAACGTACAATTCTGTAGTCCACAACTCGATATGAGGTTGATTTAACCATTGTCCAGTCGGATCGTACTCTAATGGCTGAACCTTTTGCTTCTCGAACTTTGCAGCTTCCAACACAGGATTCCTGTCATTCTTTGATTGATAATGCAAGAGTGTCTGGGTGATCGTAGATGAATCGGTCAAGCGTGATATTTGAATCATTTACTTGATAAGATGTATAGACCTTAATGATAACATGAAGTATTGCATAGTTAAACTGAGAAATTCTATACCATCACATGATCTTGAAGATTGCTTCCTACACCCTGCAAATCGACTTTACAACCAATGCCCATTTCGACTTGATGCGCTGCTGAACCAATACCGGAATGCATTAAGATCATCGGAGAATAATAAGCACTAAATAAAAGTGGTCTAGCAACACAAACCGGATTTGATTGTTTGATAGTTTGTGAATATTACTCGCTTTTTATAAAGGAGTCAAAAGACTGAGAGCATCACTGTTCATCGCTTTTACTGAAAGAGTCCTTAAAACTGATTCATTTTTATGCTGAATATCTCCTCGGAAAAGATTGCTAATCTCACAATGCTAACAATTTTCCCTGTAATGTACGAAATTGACCTCAAATCGGAATCGAGTCGCATGTCTCTAAAGCATACTCAGCACTTAGGATGATTTCTTTTCTTGCTTTGATAATTATCGGTTGACCATTTGCGTCGTAATGCGCTTCCACACCCACTGCTTTGTAATCACGTTTTTCTTTGTTGTTTATATTGTTATTTTCCAGAATGATCCAATCAACATAGACACCTGTCCGAACTGTAAGGTTTGTTTTCTCGTATTGATGAACAAAGTCCGCACTTATACTTCGAATACCCTTGGAAGCTGTGCGTACAGAATATCCGGCACCTAAACCATTCTTAGATGACTTTCAAAGAAAAAAATGAACGTTAGAAACCTTCATAGTCTCCCTGAACAAACATATCTGGTTTGTACTCAAAGCCACTATCAATAAATGATTCAAGAATTTTTTCAGAGACAAGCACAGGAGGATACGGCTCGGTATGCAGTGGTCCACTAGAACCTCCACCAAGGAAACGAGCACGTAGAGCGTTTATAATACGATTGTTGTAACCTTTCTGAGCAACAATATCATAGTTCTAGTCATGCGACTTCTCCTTATTTAAAACCCAATTACCCGGTATACGACTATTGGCGATTTCTTCATAACTGTCACAAAAGATTATTCGTTCTAGATTAGAAAATTAGGATAAACGTGAACAAACCTCGGACCAGCCTCGAAAAGACACACACTAGAGTTTGTATCTCCTTCTGCCAAACGTTGCGCTGCAACCGCACCACTTGTACCCCCACCAATGACCACGTAGTCGTAAGTAAAAATCTTCTCATTCGTGTGAGCCATTCTAAAAATGGATTACAAAATCAATTTATTAATCTTATGATCCCAACTACTGTGAACGTATATATCAAAGAAATCTTTTAGCTCACTTAAGATATAAATTCGAAAAAATGCTCAGCAGCTTCTAAAAGAACTCCATNTTAACTGTGAAATAAATATTTAAGAAGTAATCGATTATAAACTCACTTCTATTTGTTCTCGAATTGCAGTATCTTGAAGTGAACTCATATCGATTGATCTTTCAGAGGTCAATTCAGTAAGCCATGAACATGTAAGAATTTCACCGATTGTAATACGATTTGCTGGATTAACTGTAAGCATTCGTTGAATAGTTGATCTTGCTTCTTGTGAAATATTTTTCCATTCAACATCTGGAAATTGATAATCACCCGTCTTGATTCTATTTCTCATTGAAGAACTTGAGTACTCTCCAAGTTTGGGAAAGAAAGGTGGATAACCACATAGAAGAATATACATAATAACACCCATGGACCAAATATCACAGGCCTATATTACAAGAAATAAGACAAATGAAAAAAAATTCTTTGAACTTCTCGAATAAGAACAAAAATAGAATCATGTTTTTGAATTCAATAGTTTGTAAGACATTTTTTTCTAACTTGATTTTCTCTCTTATTTATAAGCTATCAAAATAAAACGTAATAAGCGTATTACTTTGTCATATTTTGCATTTGACAGAATCTCTGGAGCAACATAAAATGGTGTGAATCTAAACGAGAAAATCTATTGAAAATGTTCGATATTGTTCATTCATTTCTATACAATGGACTACTCAACGGCAGTGGTTCATTGTTTCCTTCGAAAAAAAAATAATAAAAAACAATCAGTCTATTCCTTTTTTTAATAGCTACTATTTTACCTTCTTTAGCAAATCCAAAATCGGTAAGTTTGAGAATAGCATCGTCTGTTTCATTTGTCAGGAGTAGATTTTCTGCTTTTAAATCACCTATGATCATAAATTAAATGGCTAATCACTGTCCCATTGTATTTTTCCTCTGTAAAACTACGTACGATGCGCCTATAAACAGTTGGAAGAACAACAAAAACATTATACAAAGCAAAAAGAAACATGTAAAACTCTTACTATATCCATTGCATGTAAATGATAAACAGCTTGAGCAACCATCCAAATATATCTGGCAGCATCACGTTCGGTATACGAATTATCGTTTCGTTTTTCAATACGATTGAATAGTTCACCACCTTCCATACTAGAATAAAAATTCATTAATAAACATATTTAAATGCATGGATCGATGAAAAATCAACTGCACCATTCCGTTACAATCAATATGCATCGATTGGATCGAAACATATTTTCCTGTAATAAGCCAAAAATGTCAATCATTAATAGAGTAATGGAAGAGAAGAAAGCAAAATAAGCTTAACAACAATATTCGTACATAAACATCCAATACTTTCACAATGTATTGACAATTTTCGCATGCTTTTTTATGCAATATAACTTCTCGTCGAGTTCTCATTGAATCTTGCAAAATCTATGAAAATTTCAAATATAAACCAATTGATGTACTTATGGAAACAAATCGAAGAAATATACTTTAAGGGCACATTTTTGTCCTGTTCGAAGATGTTGACATTTATACACTCTACCATTAACACCACGACCTAACACGTCTGGTAATATTTCATAATCATCTGTAAAATCATTCCGACGTGTTGGAAATGGAAATGAACCATAGTTGTTTGACCTTTTTGATCAATTAAAATAGATTCATTTTTTATATGAAAATTGAATGAACAAAAATTTATACTGATAGAAGATTGAGATTTACTAGAACTATTCAATCTGTTGGATAAATCTTCATAAATGCAATATTATTTGAATTTGTTTGAAATCCTCTTCTTTTTATGTTATATCGCTCTCTTCTACAGTAACTGTTCTCAATAAAATCATACTTTTTTTTCTATAACTAAACATTGTTTACGTAACGAATGACTTATGAGAACAAAATAATGAAATATACAGAAGATAGAAGTTTTTAGTTATCATGNCATTACCATGTCGTTTCGCTCGTATTTCATTTCCAGGAGCTATCATAAAAATGATTTCATGTAGGGTAAATAGTAATAGCGGCTATGATAGTAGTGTTGAACAACTAAGTCTTACGATTAATACACATTTTGCTTTAACCAAGTCTGTGGAAATGATATCACAATGTCGGCAAGTGAGAGAAATTACTTTTAGCACTAAAGATACAGACAATACCCTTGAAGGTATGTATATTGAACAAAAATATCGATAATGTACAAATAACTATGAAAATCCATCAAACAGATGCAGAAGACGTAAGGATTGCAGAATGAGAAATCATCATTGGAATCGAAAGAATTGCTTTTTGAAAAAATTCTAAGCTGACTACGAAAAACAGAATTTGTCATAGTTAAAGGTTGCAATATCTCGAATTCGGTTTCTACTTGAATTCTCCTAAAGATCTTCGAATGATTGGAAAATGTTTGTATATACGATAATTTAAAAGAAAACAAAATAATAAGATAAGAGAACTTGATATCTTTCAACGCTTCATCTAATCAAGATCATATCTTAATTTGAGATTTAAGTATTATTCTTCCAAAAATATTTCACTATTTTCAGAAAAACAATGTCAAATATCTTATATTCCTAAATTATCTCGGCTTATTCAAGTCAACTTTTTTGGATCAATACCTTCTGATTTGAATCATTTTTCATTTATTCTTAATGCTGCACCTAATCTTTTTCGCTTGGATTTACCTTTTGATTATTTATGGCTTTTCATGGAAAATCAACAAATACGTTATCTTCTTGGTCAACGTATCACTTCACTTTGTATTTTCGAAAATTCAGCGAAATCGTCATCAGTTACACTCAATGAAGAACATATACCTATTATTGCTTCAACATTCTTTCGAGTTCATGATTTATATGCAGATTTAACACATTTACAGAATAGCACAACAATAATCTCGAATGACAGCCTTCTTGAAGATTCTATAGGGCAAAGCTTATCTGTCCAATCATGTCAAAAGAAATCTGAAGTCATATCTCCATGTTCAAGTGAATCGATGGTAGTATGTTTGTTGACAGAGTTAAAAGAACATAAACTTGTTGGTCTATGTATTACTGGACAATTCTGTGAAAAGATACAAACAGATGCTAACCAATGGCTACAATGTAATACTGTGCTTTGCGAACAACAATTTGAAGCTACTTTTAGCAATGAGTTGCATAGATTACTCATTTGGATGTGACAATACTTGTATAGTTTTTTTGAAAAAAAAATTTTTTTCTAGAGATTTTTTTTCTGCTCATAAATACTTATATGTATATTCATGATTGTAAAATGATGATATTCTAAAAACAATCTTCATCAATTTTGATATAACAACATAAATGAGTACTCACTCTAGTAAATATTTCAGTCTTCTACATATCTTCTGAGTGATAGAAGTTATACCACCTAGAAGATTGAAATATGCCTGAATGCTAACGATGCGATTGATCATGCAAAAAGCTAATAAAGCGATAGTCCGCTAACGCTGACATTTACTCTATCAAAAATGGTCACACCCTGAGTGAGAGAGATGTCTTCTGTGAGTGTTTCCGAAGTACCAGTGATTTGTAAAGTATATAGACCATCGTATGAATTGATTGTTCGGAGATTTTGAAGCAAATTTGTTTTGCTCCGATTTGATAAATTAAATTAACTTCTATCAATCTAAATCCTATAGAATCGTTTGTTTTGTTCAATCCGAAAGAAAAATAAAGTCATTTCGAAGAAAGCAACAGAATATACATATTATTTGTTATGATTATCAAACTTTCGATTTGTTGATTAATCGAAAAAATCGACATTTAACATATAAAATGAGTTTCATAAGAGCTTGTTGATATTCTTTCGCTACTTAATTCAAGAAAAAAGAACATTTACTATAAAGCTACTATAAATAAGCATTATGGTAATTAATTGCTACTAAACAACCGAGAATTGAAACTTCGATTGTAACAATCTAAGTAAAAGTATGATTAATGTTAAACGCAATATTGATTGATGTATGCCCGTAAGAACGATTAGACTTTTTCATGCAACAATCATTAATTTTCTGTAAAATGTTTGTAAACATTTTTTTCTACAAGAGTTTTTTTTTGTTTCTTCCCTATTGAATGATACCAGTGATTCTATAGCAATGGTAAATGTTACATTACTGATTTTAATCGTATATACATGAACTTTTTAAACAATTGCATTTAACAAGTAGCTAAACTGTATCACGTAGTGTCCAACAAAAAAAAACCATTATTATGTGAGGAAAAAACCTATTCTAGCATACATGAAACTAAAAACAAGAATGATAGGTGACATCATTTGTGTCTAGAAAAAAGGAGAAAAGTAGTTTGTTTAATAATATTTTTCTTTTTCGTTTTATAGATTGAATTCCACAATGAAAAGCAATGATCTATCTATTTTTAAGTTGGCATTAGTAATTTTAAGAATGAGACGATCTGTTTCAATGATTCATCAAAAACAGGACTTTTTATTTTCATAATTTCCATTATTCAGGTGTGTTTTCAATTTTTTCCACTGTCGTAAGTGTTAGAAAAACTCCAAATAGTTATTCGAATAGAGAAAACAATTTCCAACAAGAATATAAGGAAATAAATATAATTTTGTTTAGACTTCATAGAACGATAGAGTGAGTAAACGAACAGTAGTTGTTTTATAGAAAATTGGAGAAAAATTACTTTATGAGTTTGCGTAAAGTTATTGTATCTCAGCTAAAATACGTCACAGAGAACTCGGAGATGTTTCATTTTGAAGAGAATTGTTTGTTCTATCGTTCTAGGTGTTGAAAAACAAACTTTGTGATTTCTTCTGAAGTTTCTATCATTGGAAACTTGATTATTGTTTTTCTATTTCTTTATATTCCTTTTGGAAACAATTCTTCGGTTTGAATCACTTACATGAATGGCTATGACATGGTACGTGTTTATAAATGCATAACAGAGTAAACTATATTTGCATTTACGTGCATGAAGTTTCGCGTATCTACAGCCTTGACGTGCAATCGAAACTGAAGAATATAATGACCGTGTGATATAGTATGCATATATGACATCAATTTCATTTTAATGAGAAATAAATAAATGCATACTGAAGAAAAAAAAATATACATCCTTGCTTTTATCTACATGCTCATCACAAAATGGTAGCAATCCGCCTACTGACACAGACTTGTTTTGGTAACAGTTTCCGTAAATACGGCTTTTTCTTTCAGTAATATGCAGAATTTAGAAAAATTCTAGTCGTTTTATAGGTGGATACCAATAATATTTTGGTATTTCAATGCGAATCATACATCTTGCATAAGCATCCAAGAGTGTTGCATGCAAGTTTTTACACGGATAACAGTTGTGCACGGTCTCGTATGTTTTGCTTAAAAATTTAAAGCATTGTATTTCGATGTATGTGCTATTTTCTTGCATTTATGCGCAGCGATTGCAAATATTTGATATAGCTCGCATGACACACGATAATTTAAAAAGTATTTTGCAATTAAATGTAAGTTTGAGAAAGGTTCTTGCAAATACACGCATGTGTTAAGCTTTCATATTTGACTGAGTAGTCTTAATATCGTTGTGCCCGTGTAAAGTTATAACAAAATAGATCATTTCAGATATATTTCATTAGAAAAAAACACTGTTCTTATCTATTTTATTTAAAAAACTGATAATTTTTGTATTCAAATGAAATTGTTTCTATGAATATGAAATATGTCAGGTAATATTATGTACTATGTATTATTGATGCATACGTACTATAAATAATATTGAAAGCTTTTAATTAAATCTTTTCAGGATTAAGATGAAATGTGAATCTTAATGTATGTTATAATGAGTATAAGGAGAAAGTGAATGTCAAATAGAAATGTTCATCAAGTGAGTTTATTATTCTTGAAGCAAAAAAGAAAGGTGACTTGTTTTCAATATTCATATATTTAATAGAATCAAAGTAAACATTATTGTTACTTATACGTTTTTGTTTTATTTTCTTTCAATTTATTAAGTTTTTAATAAAATCCATTCTCCTATCAGAAATTTCTCTTTTCGTCAAAATATTTAATGTTGTGATTTTGACACAGTTGAATAATCACGAATGTTTACTCCCAAAAACAATACAATTTGCCGGATTTGTCATGCTATTTTACGGCTTGTTTTGTATATCGTTTGACTAATAAAGAAACTTGAGTTTCTATGCTAAACTTTACTTTATTTCACATTTTCTTCAAAGTAGATCTTCCTTTGTTTTTCTTGTTGTTGTGTCAAACATTTTTGCTCTAGAATTTAACAGATTTGGAATTTTCTTTTTTGATCTACTTTTTGAAAAACAAAAACGAATGTTTTTTCATTGAGTCATCCTGAGATTTCGAATTTTTTTAGAGGCAAATCTCATCAGAAGTAAACAGAAAATATTTTGAAATATTTCGTTCAGTTAAGTTGTAGCAGGTCTTGGTTGCATTTTCAAACCAATTCGAAATATGTATTATTCCATTTAGAGAAGAAATTCTTATCGCGCAGAAACCTAATTTTTTACCCTTGATGTTATGACATTTCGTGAACAGCTCAGTATTTTGGGTCAAAATTTTTACTGTGAACTGTTAAGATGTGAACACATATACTCTGAAATTTTCAACTAGATCGAATGTTCTAAGGCAAAAATAAGTTTATGTTAGAAGAATGGACCTTAATCAAATTGATAAATTACACATTAGAGAAAAATTGTGCTTTAAGTAGAATGATATGTTTCTATGGAGAAATAATTTTTCTGTAAAAACGATTTCCTTGGAAGAAAAATACTTTTCATAGAATTATTGGTCGTCATTAGTTTTTCTAATAAGAGAAAAGAAAGGAAAAAAGAAAGAGATGAAGTAATGATTTCATAATTTCTTAAAAACTAAAAGATGCTTAATTTTCAATAAAAATAAGTAGTACCTCAGAAGTTCTGAAGCAATTTTAAAATATATCATTCTCACACTCTACAAAAAGGGAACTTTTTGAAAATTTAACAGGATTTTGATGTCAAACAATACAACTTTTTTGAAATAAAAACAAGTGATAATTCTCTATTATTTATTGACATAAAGAAATACTACATTTGTTCCTTTACTTTTTTTACATCATTTTTTAGTTGTTCAATATTAAAGTATTTCCGCCCTTGCAATTTGTCTATTAATACACTCGAAACTTTGCAATTTTTCAGTATTAAGTAAGTACATTAACTTGGTAAGGTTTCAAAGAGCTTTCTCTTGTTGAATTTAAGAATAATGCATTTTAGAATTATCTAGAATTTGGGAGAAGCAAATAATTGATAGTCGCAAAACGTTGTTATAGACTCCAAATTCCAAAATACGTCCTTCTAGGAAATATCTGAGTTGCATAGACTAAAGATTGCTCCTAATTGCTCCGCTTGATCAGCCACAATACGTCCGATAATACAGCTGACATGTTTTTACAGATACTAAATAATGCTTGGCATGCCTACTTTTTTGTGACTTAGTTTTATCCACTGCCATTCGAATAAAAAAATCAAAATAGGAAGTGTACCTCGAAAAATCAACGATGCAATATTTTTCAAAAAAAAAATAAGATATTTTCTCCAAGTGAAGTGAATGAAAACTGATTGTTTAGCGGTGTTAGAGGTACATGAGTCATGGTTTCAATACATGAGAGATCTTGAGAGTTGGATTTAATAAAAGTACTAACTAACAATGAAGAGCTCTCATTTATATGGCATTTGACAGAGAACATTTCACAGCTATATCATTGATGAAAAATTAAAAATAGAAGAAAAATTTTATTTTTACATTCGAAAAGGGGACATTTTCGTCTTAAGATCGAATACAATGAAATAATATTGTCTAACATTATTTATTTAATCAACTTTTTCTTGTCGCAGGATATAGTACATTTATAGATAATCTATACTATTGAGACGTTAAAGATTATCTTGTAATTTGTTTTGTTTTTCATTTATTTTTGCGATAATAAGCATAATTCGTTCACTTTAATTGTTATTGGTCAGAAAAATGTATAAATTGATCTAAAGTACTTTGATATTCTAGCACGTAATATTCAAAGCAACTGTCGACGTTATGTACATAGATCATCATCTTTAAACTTTGATATTTATAATAGAATGAGCTACTTTACATCTTCTAAATGATGTAGACATTGAAGTGAATTTTTCTACTTCTGTACGAAAGACATATCATACATTAATTTAGTCATTGGTTTCTCTCATCAGAGCAATCTTTCATCTTGATAAATAACTTATCATGCTCATACAAATGTGAAATTTACTTATTGATATGCCTCTGTGAGGAAAATAATGATGAACAGTTAGTAGGTTTTTTTTCACAAGAGTAATATAAAATAAGTGTTGTCCTCACATAAACTTCATATGAGAGTAGCATATGTTCCTATTGTTGAACTGTATTATGCCTAGAAGGCAACTAGAAGAAGTAACTAAGTATTCACAACAAATTTTCATAAATAAATTTATTCTTTATTTCAGATAAAACCGCATCAACCATTGGACGTGCAAGCTTTCAATAATTGTATTCCTCTCTTGCAGTAATTCAGTAAGAGATCTTTGATATTTGAATTGATATTGTTTTAGAACATTAATAGGATATATTGTTATTATTAAAGTGAGAATCACAGAAAAATTAACTCGTATTATTTAAACATATAACAACTACAATTTTCCAAAGCCTTTAATTTTGAAATTCTTACTAATATATTCTTCTAAACAAAGAAACTTTCTCAGTAAAAATACAAAGTTCGACAACAAAATCTTAAGTTATCTTCGATTTCCAATTGCAGTTTTGTTTCTACTAATTCCTGTTTTGGAAAAGGTTGATCATGTAAGTTTTTTTTCTCGTTGCGAACGACAGAACCAGCTATTAATACGATAACAAATCTTGAATCTTTATAAATAAATACCTTTTGTAGATGTATGCTAGTTAAAATCTTGTGAAATCAAACAGAAATATGTAGGTCTGAACGAATTAATAACATATACCCACACCCTATACCTAGTATCTGAAAGATTTGAAGAGACATGGGATCCATTTTCATGTTATTCAGATTTTTCAACTGATTTACATAAACACTCATCGGAGCAAATTAAGTTATTCGAATCCATTGAAAGTTCATTTGACTTGAAAAACATTTTGTACAACTGTTATTTCTAATTTCACAAAATAGCGACATTGCATTCAATAATTCCAAACTACACTTTGTTCTAGAATACAACGTTATCCGATATGCCAGCCCGACAACAAATAAATCTTCAACTTATGAATCAGCCACATGGCGGACAAGCAGCTACTACTTCTGGCTGGGTTGCCGTGACGCATAGCACATGGTATGTACTGTTTCTCATACAAGGCGATAATTTCAACATTCCAAACTATTGATTCTTTATTTTTTTAAGGGGTCTGCATGCGACAGTCTTAGCCGGTATCGGTGCAGTATCTGGTATGGCTGTGTTCACTGCAGCATTTCTTGTACCCATAATGCTCACTGACAGCAAATATACGCCAGCAAACAGTAAATATCGTTTATTCTTCAAAACTTGTAACCATTTTTACTCCTTTCAGTCACAACTGCCACGATAAATACTACTACCCTGAGTGCCACTACTATAACAGATACTTCTGTCAGTATCGCAAACGCTACAACAGCAGACAGTACCACCACAACATCATCGACGTCTACGATATCTGTTACAAAACAGTTGAATGCGACGACAAGCACAAACACTGTAAGCACTGAAACAACGACTTCGTCAATAACAACTGCATCTACTACAACAACGGGTGCATTAGTTAGTTCAAGTATAATCGCAAATAAAACAACAATCAGTGTAACATCAAATACGGAGACTGCAACTACCACTAGTGACACTACAATCATAACATCGGTAAAGAAAAAGACGACCTACAATATTAATATCACGGAAGCAACAACGGCATATACTCCAATCACCGAAAAATCTACGTCTACTTATGCAACAATACCTGCAATATCAACCATGGATATTACAATTACCGTTACGGAAATTCCAACTACCAGCACTGCTAATACTGCAACTACCGCGACATCAATTACAACCACCATGGAAACTGTCAATACCATCGTGGAACAAACAATTACTCGTACAGAAGCTCCCACTTCTCCTATTGAAACTACTACTAAAACAATGGTAGCTGCCACGACTATTGCGGCTACCATTATAACAAGCACTGACACTACAGCTGTTCTCACGGGAACCGCAATTAGTGCCACGACCGCTAGTGAAACTACCAA